GTTACTTAGCTCTTACTAAATACCACATTCTAAGCTAGGTACTTGGTAATAGCAATCTCTGGCCTATCTTCCTAATATTGAAGTAAGAAAAAGCACTAGCTACAAAGTATTTGAAGCCAGGTAGCAGAAAATCAAATGAGACCGACTGTGACTTAAACATCACAGATATTTATATTATCTTACTTAAACAGAAGGCTGGAGGTAATTGGTTCTAGAGATTCATCAGTGACTCAGTGAAGCATAAGGGGGAAGATTATTATTATGTTTCTCTGCTCCGATCGTTAGATGTTGCATCTTCTTCTCCATGGTTTGTCCCTCTTTGTTGTATGATCATGGTCACAGTGTCTGGCTTTACAGTCTACATTCATGGCAACGACAAAAGGGAAACACCAGGAGTTCTATTGTTTTATCTGAAAAAAAGATTTAAGTCATGAAACAAGATATCTTTTCTAGACGCATCTCAGCAGACTTCCTCTTATGCCATATTGTCATAGTGGTGCCACCTGGCTATGCCTGTCTACCATGGAGTCCCTGGTAGAACTGGGGATTGAATCTAGGGCCTCACACATGTTAGGCAAGTGCTCTATCACTGAGCTATATTCCCAGCCCTCATAAGGGGGCTTTCTAAACTCTAGAGTAGGAAGGAGAAAGGGAAAAGCAGTTGGAAATGACTCTGGATAAACAGCTAACAGAGTCCAGTGTAATATGAAATGCATCTAGGCCCTTCTAGGGTAGAAACTTGAAGATTAGATATTTAACATATTCATTCAGAAAAGATTCATTTGAGGGCTTTCTCTGGGCTACATGACAGAACAGTTAATAAGACAGACACAACCCCTGCTTCCAAAGACTTTAAAGACCAAAAAGAGAAAATAGAGGGCAACAAAACAATTATTGTAAAATATGGCAACTTGCTATCATCAACAGATATTAATGACCTGTTAGGATTTAACCCCAAATCCAATTACAACAGGCCAATCTGCAGCTTAGAAACGCACAGAGAATATTATCAACTAGACACAGGGATTTAAAAACATGGCACACCCACTCATTAATGCAACTGAACAACCCACCAATCAACTAACCTGCTAATGTATTTTTAAAAAATTATTTATTTAATAACCACATACTTAGAAGAAGCATTTCATTACATCAGCATTGACATATTCAATAACAATTTTCTGAGCTAGGATGCATCTCTTTCAAAATTGGCTGTACATTTTTAGGTTTATAGTTGAATTATTACAGTTATACAATATTGTGTTTTAAGGGCGTGCTTCAAACACAGGTATTACAATTAGGCTTCTTTGCAGTTCCACAGGTTGGTGATAGATCACCATCTCCCAGGGTAAGGCTATAATCCTCTGCTGGTCTAACTTCAGCCTCTGGATCTGCCTCTTCAGGGACCAGACTACATGGCCGGGCAGTTAAGTGTGGCTGGAGGCCAGCACAGGAGCCTAGAGTGCTTGCTCAGCATAGATGGCTAACATTTGGACAAACTGGAGCTTCTAGAAAAATCAGACAGCAAAGCCCCAGCCCTGAGAAAAAGCCGTCAATGGACTCCACCAGGCCCAAACAACGGCAGGGCCACTTGTGGCAACATAAAAGGCCAACATCCCAGCCATGAGTAATGTACTCTTGGCAGCTGTTAAAAGGGGCCTAAAACCCCACTGGCTTTCAGATCCAGCCGGACAGGCCAGGTGCAGGCTGACAGGAGAACTGTGTTGATTCTAAAGGCCAGAGATGTTATTTTGAGGTTTGACTGTTTATGTCTCATTACTGCTAATTTCCATGAGTTTGCAGGCCTTGTTCTGACAACCCCAGTCCTCGGTGGAGAAATCTAGCTACACATGAAGACTATTCACTAACCTACCTCCCCCAACCCCCATATTTTGTTTGATGAGAATCATTTCTGGGAATACAACAATCTTCATGTGGAAATTTCTTAAGCAATTTTAGTTTGGGTTTGTGGGTCCCTCTCCTCTGAAGTCTCTCATTGAATATGAGTGGGGTTGGCCTAGGACACATTTAAACAAAATTTTTACCTTCTAATTCTCCTCCCCTTAGAATGGTAACTATTAAGATAGCGATCTGTCCAAATACAGAAAAGTGTTAGTGTGTTGTTATAGTTAGAAAATTCAATGGGGAAAAATTCAATTGAAAAGACAGAAGAAGGAGGAGGAAGAAGAGAAGGAGGAAGAGGAGGAAGAGGAAGAGGAGGAGGAGGAAGAAGAGGAGGAGGAAGAACTAAAAGGCCATACATAGGATTACATTTGACTAGAAATGCACAGGACAGGGCTCTTCTTCCTCAGGCATTCTAGTCTGTTCCCCACCGTATCCTTGCCCGTGTGTGACTCAACCCTCACGGCTTCTTACTCTTTTCCAAATTTACTTTCCTTTGTTTCTGACAAAAACTTCCTCAGTTTTATTATGGAAAAGTCTAAATATATTCAAAGTAAACTGAACAGAGATATATCTACTTCCCTATCTTCATTATTAGTTTTATGGTTTTTTATTTAAATAAGGCTTTATTCTCTTATTTTCTCTTATTTCTATATATTTTAACTTTATGTGTATAGTGTTTTGCCTACATGTATGTAAGAATATCACATGTGCACAGTGCCCACAGAAAGCAAAAGAGGGCATCAGATTCCCTGGAACTAGAGCTGTTAGCCAACGTGTGGGTGCGAGGAACTGAAACCTGGTCCTCTGCAAGAGCAGCCAGCTCTCTTAACCACTGAGCCATTTCTCCAGCTCTTTTATTTATATTTTTGTGGGGGGGGGAGGGAGGTCTAAGCTTATGTGCACATGTGTAGTCCAGAGGTCCATCTAGGGATGTCTTTCCACAATCACTCTCTACCTTATTTATTTTTGAAAGAGGACCTGTCACTGAACCTGAGGTTTCTCATTAGGCTAGGTTGTCTAGCTTTCGAGGTACCAGGATCCTCCTATCTCTGTCCCAGGTGCTGGGATTACAGGCACATGCTACTGAGTCCTGCTTTTACATCGGTTCTGGGAATCTGAACTCAGGTCCTCATGCTTGCATAGCAAGCATTTTACTCACTGAAATATCTCCCCAGTCTGTCTTACAGTCTTTAAGGTAAAATTTGCATACAGAGCCTTTAGCTGTACAAGCTTCACAGATGGATGCATCACTCATGTAATACCTGTGCTGTATTACCTGTGCACAATACAGTATTTTCATGACCCAGGGAAGAGTCCTCAAACATCTTCCTACTCATTCTTCCCAAGAAATCATTGTTCTGATTAAAAAAAAAAAATCAATGAAGCCGGCTGTGGTGGTGCACGCCTTTAATTCCAGCACTTGGGAGGCAGTGGCTGTCAGATCTCTGTGAGTTAGAGGCCAATCTGGTCTTCATAGCTAGTTCCAGGCCAGCTGGGGCTACAGGGAGACCCTGTCTCAAAAAGACCGAAAAAAAAAAAATCAACGAGCCTAGTTGTGCACATCTTTAATCCCAGTACTCAGGAGGCAGAGGCAGACAGATCTCTGTGAGACTGAGGCCAGTCTATTCTACATGGTGAGTTCCAGGCCAGTCAGAGCTACATAGTAAGACTCTATCTCAAGCAAGCAGGCAAACAAACACAGCTTGACATTTCACAGAGGTCTTTGGAGATAGAGTCAGCAGAATCCAAAGGTCCCTCTTGGAGGGGACCAATGATAATAGAGGAGACATTAGACAGGTCCCACAATGCTTACCCACTGGGGCCTATTATAGACAGTACTAGCCAAGGGAGACTGTAAGATTCATACACTGATATTCAGGCAGCTCTTCTTTGAGAAATCTTGGCTTATGAATTCTCTCTGCTTCCTTCTATCATTATCAGGGCTCACCTTCTTGCAACAGCATCTCAGAACATTTCTGCTTAGCTATGATCCTGCTACTACTGCCACCGTAGCTGGTCCTCATGTGGCTGACAGAAACACCAGGCCTTCTTCACATTCCAATTATCCACTCCTCTGCTGAGTCATGGATTTGAACACTAGAGAGACAGCCACTGAAAACAAGGATTTAGACTTTTTCTTCCTCCCGTTAGTACTAAGTTGCCTTCTTTGAGGCTTGTAATCAGCCTCAAAGAGGATAGGTTTAACGGCAAAATATGCCTCCAAATATGTCTTCTGTAAGTCATTCAGTAGGGCTTTGACCTTTCATATGAAGTAGGCCTTCACAGAAGATAGTTGGTAATAATATTGTTGTCCTCATGGCTATAACATGTTGGTCACCCATTATAAACCAGGCACTTTATCTCTTGGTTTTTGTTTTTGTTTTGTTCTGAGACAAGGCCTCCATATATAGCCCAGACTGGCCTGGAACTCACAATGCTCCTTCCTCAGCTTCCTGAATGCTGGAATTGCAGATGTTGTGTGATCATTCCTGCTTCTTCTGGTGCTTCTGAGAGCAGATATTTTAGTCTTCAGAGAAAAAGGAGAGAGCAAACATTTACTGTTCAGTAATGTAGCCCCCTCATGAAGATTAAGTGAGTCAATGCATGTAAGTCTGGCCACAGAAAATATCAGAACATTTTCTTTTATTAGTATTAGGTAATTCTCCTGCTCAAGGTTTCACAGCTGGGAAGGAACACAGAACGGGCCCCAAGCTGCTGTTCTGTCTCCTAATACAAACCCCCTTGGATCCTTTCTCATTCCTTAGACCTGAAAGGTATGACACTAACCTTGGGCTCCATTCCTGGCGTGTGGTATGGGTTCAGTGGATTCAGAACCTACAACTGGATAGGAGAGGTCTCACTAAGTCATTTTGGGTTACTATAACAGCCTACTGCAGGCCAGATGGCATATAAATAATAAAAAATTATTTTCTGGGACCAGTGAAATGACTAAGTGTGTAAAAGCGCTTGTTGCCAAGCCTGACAGTCTGATTTTAGGCCCCAGAACCGACAAGGGAGCCTTCACAAGCACCAACACATACACACTCACCTCAAACACAAATAAGTAAATGGAAAAATTTATTTTTTTTCCACAGTTATGGAGGCTCAGAAGTCTAAAACTAAGAGATTGTAAGATCCAATGTCTGCTAAAGAACCACTTCCTGATGTGGCCAGAAGGACACAGTGGCTCCCTAGGGCCCCATTTAAGAGGTAATTAATCTCATTCAAAAGGATTTCACTGTCATGACCCAATGCTCTTCCAAGGGGCCCACCTCTTAATGCCATTACACCAGGGGTAAGAATGTCAAGATCTTGATTGGGCAGGGGCACAGTCATTGTCTATAATGGATGAGAAATCTGCCTGTGGGTTTCTGTCCCTGGGATACAATCTACAATCTACATTGCCATTCCCTTTAAAAACACTACAGTAACATGTCTGCTAGTTGCTCAGCAGCCAGGTCAATTGGACAGTTGTTAAACCACAGATTTATCCAAGGTGTTATGACTGTAGGAAGTCAATGACTTAAATAGTTGTTAAATGCTTACTGTATGTTGAACAGGAATGTGTGTACCTCAGCGAGTCTTCCGATAATCCTTGCTACAACCACTATGCTTGGGTCTCCATCCATTTGCTTATGCTACCCCCTTCTCCCATTTGCTTATGCCGTTTCAGCTGCACTAGACATCTTCCTAGTCCATTGTCACATCAAGCTCATGCCCAGCTCAAGACCTGTAGCAGAAGTGATGGTGTCTTTCTCGGCCCAGTGTACCTCCCCCCAGCTCATGACTGACTCTTTCCAATTGTTCAGATTTTCACTCTCCTATCCCCATCCTGAGAAGCCTGACTGCCTAAAATCACTCCTCTCTCCTTCTGGTTGTGTGTGTATATACACATGTGCTGTGTTAATTTACAGAGCCCTGCCTATTTCTCATATAGTACTAATCCCAGACTCAATTTACCCTACCATTTACTACTTAGGAAACAACAGGCAGAGAACTTAGTCTGATTATTTAATACTAAGTCCCTAGAGCCTACAACAGTGATCTCAGTATTTGATGAATGCATAATAGTTAAGAATGATAATATTTAGATAACGCTTTGCTATCAGTCACAATGACATGGTCCTCTGGATAACCAGGGGAGAAAGAACAATCAGACTCATATAAGTCTCAGGTGAGGAGACTGACTGTAGATACAATGCTTGTCCCTTGTTTGCCTTTTTGTTTGTGCATGTCCAAGATTAAGCTGACATGTGGGAGTTTTATACTCCCTTTATTTATTTTAAAATTTCAATTTTCGTCTTTCATTTAATGTGTGTGCGGGTGTGTGTGTGGGGGGGACATATAGAGGTCAGAAGACATCTTCCTAGAGTCAGTTGTCTCCTACTATGTGAGTCCTGGAGATGGAACACAGGTGGTGGGGGTTGGTGGCCAGTTCCTTTACCTGCTGAGCCATCTTGCCAACCCTACTAGATTTATCTTGAAGAAGCTGTCCTAAGATAGGGGGATAGTAAAACTATCTTTCAAGCACAGGATAACCACAGAGGCATGGAAGGGCAGGCAAGGAGAGCTGCTCCTTGGAGGAGAGCTGGGTGGGTACTGGTGTTGGTAGGTGAATGTTTTCTCTCAATAGGTGTCTCATGTGACAGACAAAATAATGAATATATCCTACCTGAGGACAGTTTTTACATAACACTCAGATTTGTAAACCACATACACATAATCAGCATCAATTATTGTTTGCATTTCCCCAAAAATGATAAAATAATTTAACAGCCAAATAACTTTTGAGTGTCTGAGATACTAAGCAGCCACTTTTATATAGTCTCTCATTCAATGTTTGCACTACTCTTTCCTTGAAGGTGGATGTTTTTTCTCCATTTTTGAGGGGAAGCAAAGGCTCAGAGAGATGGTTTAAAGACCTTGACTTTAACTACCTGATACTTCCAAAGTAAGTGGCAGAAATAAGTTTGGACCTAAATACAGTGTTCTTTTAGAACTGTAGTCCTAACTTGGGAACTGGGCTTCAAACACATAAAATATGTGTTTGAAGTGCATATCAGCACTTTTAGCTCTTCAATGCCCCCAAGCATAGGGTGCTGGCTCTACCAGCCTGTTTTGAGGACCCACAGTTAGAAATTCACTCTGTTTAAAGAGAGATGAGGACAGTTTGAAAGGATGAAATACAATCTGGTATAATTAACATGTCAATAGCAGCAACATGAAACCCAAAGTTGAGCAATTTGGGCCTGTGCGAACAATTGAAATAATTTCAAGCTTCTTACTTTGTGAGGAGGGTGTGTGTGTGTGTATGTGCGTGTATGTATATATGTGTATGAGTGTGCTTACACATAGTCAAACCTACAGATCATTAAAAACTTTGGAGCTGGAGAGATGGTTCAGTGGTTAAGAACACTGGCTGTTCTTGCAGAAGACCCAGGTTCAAATCCCAGCACCCACATGGCAGCTAACAACTGTCTATAACTCCAGTTCCAGGGGATCTGACAGCCTCTTCTGTCCTCCACGGGCATTGCACGACGGGTGCACTTACTTACATGGAGGCATAACATTCACACACACAAAATAAAAATAATAAATATATTTATTTATTTATTTATTTATTTATTTATTTATTTATTTATTTATGTGTCCATGTGTGCATGGCACATATGTGGCAGTCAGGGGACAATTTGCAGAAGTTGGTTGTCTCCTTCCACCTTGTGGGTCCTGATTGAATTCAGGTGGCCAGGCTCAGGTTTGGCTACAAGAGCCTTTATCTGATGAGTCATCTTGCTGTACCATCTTTTAAAAACTGCTTTACTGAGTAACCAATAAATGAAATACTTTTAATCTTAATGTATTAAAATCATAAGGACATTTGAGTGGTAAGAAGCTGACGAAACAAAATGTCAATGTGGTTCCAGTTTGATGAATCCAGTTTTATCTTTGTTTTGGTGTGTGTGTTTGGCAGGGGGTGGGGAGTGTGGGGGCTTGGTGTGCTGGGGATCAGACCTAGGACTGTAAGCATGCTAGACAAGTAGCTTGTACCACTGAGCCTCATCCCCAGCCCTCAGCTTCTGGTTGTGAGTTTAGAATACAGAGACTGAAAGAGGTTCCAAAGACCCCTGGTCTGTCTGGAAAGAGGGACCAGTACCTCAACCTGTGGCTGCCAGAGCCAATTGCCTTGGAAGTTTGTGTCTCTCCTCATGAATTTCTGTTTGCTCCTGAGCAGAAATGTCCATTTGTATCTGATGTGGAGGATTCTTTTCCTCAGGTTTGGCCACACTGAGGTGTGGAAAGGGGTTTAGTTTAATGCCTGACTGGGCAGAGGTGGTGTAAGAGGTTTGAACCCTGAATGCCTGTGTGAAAATGTCCTCACCTGGCATCTCCTCTGGGAGCATGTGGATACCTTGTCCTGAGGATGCTGGACGGGGGCCAAGAGTCTTGCACAGCAAGTGTGGGTGTTGAATCAACAGCTCTGGTTATGACTCCCCGGGGACACTTCTTTGAAGATTATGCAACTCCAGCCAAGAGGATGAGCTTTCCTTACAGCTTTACACACTGGATTAACTTTGTAAAAACAAACAACAGCTTCTCTCCTCCCTTTTAGAAAACTTCAATTTTTTTTTCTTTCTGTTTCTGGCTCAGTAATGTTTAGGAAGGAAGAATTCTACTGGGCCCACTTTCCTGGTCTTCATTTAATTTTACAAGTCACTTTTAATACATAAACATGAAAGAAGTTCGAATCAATACATGATACATTCTGTTGATTTTTTTTTTTTGAAGTGTGTGAGTGTTTTGCCTGCACGTGGGTAAGTGTACCATGTGTGTGCAGTGACCGTGGAGGCCAGAAAAGGGCGTTGGATTCCCCTGGAACTGGAGTTACAGACAATTGATAGCTGTTGTGTGGGTGCTGGGGCACATTACATTTCTAAAAGAAAGCTCATGTTTGCTTTTCCAAAATAGAAGAAATTCCTCTGGGTTGAAGAGATGGCTCAGTAGGTTAAAGTGCTTGCCTCAAAAACATAATGAACTTGAGTTTAGATGTGAAAGGTGGCAGTGGTGGTATATACCTGTGATTCCAGCACTGGGGATGCAGAGACAGGCAGATTCTTGAGAATTGCTGCTTAGCCAGCCTACCTGAATCAGTGAGGTCCAGGTTCAGTGAGAGATAATGTCTCAAAAAGTAAGATAGAGAAGATGTGGAAGATGTCTGATATAGAACATACATATACACCCACATATATACATGTGCACACGCATACACAAACCTATACACACAGAAATTCCTTTGTCTATTATTTGGGGAGCATTTGCTTGACAGCAAAAATTTCTGATGTATTTCACTGAAAAAATAACACTATTGCTTAGGATCACATGGTCTAGGTTACTTGACTTGAAGTTTTCACCATTTCTTGTTGTCATATATGTGCTAGTGTTCTTCTTTTTGTGTCTTATAACTCTGATAGAAAACTCCTTCAAGCAACATTTCTGGTCACTCTGCTCCTCTAACTCTGGTTCGAGTTAGGGAATAATTGCTGAGCATGTGTGGCTCAGTGCTTGGGACAATCACTTCCTAGCCCCTGGGATTTCTTTTGGAGGTTATGAAAATGTTCTAAAATTGTGGTAATGGTTACACAGATCTTTAAATGTACTAAAATCCATTTTACTGTACAAATAAAAAGGATTAATTGCATAGTATGTGAATTCAATCTAAAATATTTAACATCTATCAATAAAATATGGTAATCTATTGACAAAATGGCCAGCTACCTTAAGAGTTTACATTTATTGCTTATAGCTTGCTTACAATAAAAATTTTAAGGCCAAGAGTTCCTATAAAACAAAAAAGTAGTGTGCTACAAATGAGACAAAACATGACTAAGTTGTATATATATTATGGGCCACTGTTGATGAATTCCAAGACAGAAAACTCATTATTCTGAAAACTAACAAATTAAGAGAAGGCATTTATCCTGCTTTTCCTGAAGACTGCACCTTAGGGTGGATCAAAACTCAATGACAGAAAGCCTCTACATATAGAAGTATTCTAGCTAATAAATGCAACTTCAGTTGTAGCTCAGCTGCAGAGCATATGCTTAGCATGTGTGGGACCCTGGGTCCAATTACTAACACCTCCAAATAAATAAATAAATGAAGAATGAATGATAGCACTTTGTAGTCCTTCTGAATTTGTGGATCTGGATAGT